GCACACAGCCGACTACACATCCTGGCTTCATGATATGCTATGAAATCCAGAACCAACCAGTTCTCCTACACTGGAAAGATGCTCAGTGGCCCCAGTTAGCATCCCCACTGAGGGAGCTGGTCCAGATTAAGGCAGAAGCACACTATGTAAAATGAGAAGTAAACCCTTGTTTTTAAGAATTGCAGGCATATCTTTTACATTGACTTTTAATGACAGGATGGACTTGTAATACTGAGGAGATGCTGACCTGTTGATGATTGAATTGTTACAACGTTTGAGATTATCTCTGTGGAGCCAGTGGTGGTGGAGTAAGGCCTATACCTGACAGGAGCAACAGGCCGCTCAAGAGAATATACTATAGGGTTAAAGACTCCCAGACAGCTGATAAGAGATATTTAATACAGATAATACTGTATTGGTGCTTCCTGTTTGCTTTAACAGTAAATCAACAAAACTCTACCATTTCATATGTATGCTGTATCATGACAGTAGCAGAAATACAAAATACAAAATTACCTGGAGATGATAAAAGTATTCAAATCGAAATTCAAAACAGTTATTAACACTAACAAGCACTAAAGGTTGTGAACACATCTCAACTGCAGCAGCAAGTCTCTCCAAAGTCTGCAGGCAGCAGGTATCAGGAGTAATATCCACAGGCGTAGAGTGCACTGGCTGACTCTGCTACATGAGCGAGTATGAGAGCTGGTGTCGGCAGCAGCTGAGTCAAGCCTATCGGTTTGTACAGGTTTGTAGTAGCAAAGTCCCTCACAAATCAAATTTGTGATACAGTGAACCCTGAGCTCTTGGGTGTTCATTGCTTCGGTCCTGGATCTCAAGACTATAGCCTGATAATATGACGAGACTGGCTGAACAGCACAAACACTGACTTCAGAATTGCACATACTGCACATTTCAGCTTTAGCTCATATTGCGCTGCATCCGGTAGGTCACCCAAATGAAACGCTCGTGATATGAGGCTCATCCCAGCAGTAAATTGTCTGAACAATTGCCTCCATTTAGTGCTGGAGAGGGTTGATGAGGAGCTGCACGTTCTCTCCCTAAATTATCATGCTTCAACAGCCACCACACAGATTCAAAACAATGGACCTCACTGCAAGCTGGGAAACATTCTCCGAGCCTCTGGAGGTTCATTTCTTGGAAATACAGAGAAAAGTTCCCTTTCAGAAACAACATATTGTTTTGACACTCTGTGTATAGTGCAATGATGTATACAGTAAAAACAGATCCAAAAACAAGAACATAGGCCATGTCAAGTCAAGTCAGTTCAGTTCTCTTTATAGGCGGGTATATCAACAATACATATAACACATATAAACATCAATACACCTACAAGTGCATGATGCACAAGAGTAATATCTTAAGAGAAGAGAATCATTACCAACAGCACTAACAATGGCCTCCTCTTCCTAATAAATAAAGAACCACTAGGATTTTATGAGAGCGCCTCTTCACTAATAACATTTTCTTCTAGGTTGAGTTTTTTGAGTGTTAAAAAATGTATTTATTCATTGTACACTGTCGAAAATAAACAAGTTTTCATTTATTATGGAAACAGTTTGATTCGACAGTGTACATGTGCAGTGATTGTTAATGAGTAACAATGCTTTGTTACATATATAATGCAGTTTGATGAGGCTACAACACAATGAAATAATAATCTTGCATCACCAGTTTCTTTATTTATGGACCTACTTTGCTTCCATACTTGCATTAAGATCATATTAGCTTTTAGTCCAGTGACATCTCCACCCACCCAGCACTGGAAAAGGATGTTATGTCAATCACGGATTCAACATACATAAAAAATATTGAGCTCAGTGATCATGTCACTGTTAACAGATGTAGTTTAATACTGTGTGAAAAATGGTGCTTACACACAGTATAACAACTTCTCCATTTCCAAATACACTGCATCACTCCATCTTTTGACCTGTAACTCTGTTATGGCTTCTCTGTCACACATCTGTCTTTGACAGCCTCATCCAGCCTGCGCGCTCAGTCTGCCTGCCTGCACCTGTTGGCTCAGCGCTGGGAGCGCAGACTGGGGCTGACAGCCTGCAGCTAAAGTGGGCCATTGTGAAAAATAGTCCTTGCCTTGATGTGTCTTAATTAAAACAGCTTCCAGATACTGTCTGACGCTCTTGGGCTTACTGTTGTTCAAAGTTTCTGTTGTAACATCTGGACCACTGTGCTACACAGCAAACATCAGTGGGAGATGACCTTCCTTCCTGCTTGTTACCCCTGCAGTGCTGTGGTGCACATACACATGCATGCAAAAGGAACTGGAAAGATAAACACTTGCTGTTTCTTCAATGACTCTGCAGCTAAAAAGAAAGCTTGCTTATTCTATAAATTATGTAATTTATCATAAATTCAGTAAGTTTTATTTTGTAAACACTCGCATGCACTTTGTCGAACTGAACAGAGGAGGATGGAAACACAAGATATACTAAGACAAAAGGCCAAACATGGAACTATTCAGAGTTTGTATTGTCATTCAGATAAGATTTGAGCCAATCTGCTTTACATATACAGTATAAACACTCATTAAATGTGATGGAGACAACTGATACAGGCCATCCAAAAGCTGATAGGCAGAGCCAGAGCCCTCGTTTACAAGGAAACACTTTAAATTTAATCCTCTTAAATGTTGCACAAGCCTGATTTTTAAATGATTGTGATCACAGCAACTAAAGACGTGTGCAAACATTTCATCATAAACTGAAAAAAGGACAGAATAATTACCTATCACCATCCCAGTAATATCAGACATGCTTTGGTCCATTCTGGAATGAAACATCACGTCATTGTTCGGGTGCTGAATGAACATCTGAACCCATCCAAGGTCATTCAGTGATAATAATTAATTCTAGAGTTATAATTGTAATTAATGTAAAATCATGATGTAATAGTTGTTTGTTGAGACGTCAGCCTTGTACAGTACAGTCACCCAGTTGTCGGTGCCAGTCAGAAAACCTCCCGTTTATTCAAAACTTGGCTCACTTGATGCTCTTTGTTATTCATCAATAAAATATTAAAAGAATTTATTTTCAAGGGGTCTGCTGTAATACAAAATATAAGCTATGAGAGCTGTAACACATTGTCTCTTTGGTTTGTGGGTTATTCCAAGTCACGTTACCCAGCTTCACCAGACATAAAATAGTAGCTAGACATACTGCTGTACACAGGTCAGGCCAATAACCCTCACCCTGCCAATAAGTAAATCAACTGATAAATAAATAAGGCATGTTGTTTACATAAAGTCGAAAAATGTATAAACCTTTATTATCATGACTATATGATTAAAAGCAAGATCTATGTGTATTGACTGTACATCAGTCTTAGATCACACAAGGGATAACTACTAGTTGTACTGTAGCCTATATGTGGATTTTTAAAACATTATGTCAAGTGCAGTAAGAGAAAATAAGGAAGAGGGAGAATTGTTGAATTTTTCTTATCAGCAAGCAGCTGTTAACACTATAGGACAGGATATGAAAGTACATTTGGGTCAGAGTGGCCTGTTCCTCTGGTTTGAACAACTCTGATGGTTTCATCCAGAGTGGTGGAAACGATCCTGATGAAAGTCACAGAGGAGTTACAGAAAAACGATTGTGGGTGCAGTCATACGTAAATCATTCTCAGGGGGAAGACCTTCAAAGTAGTCAAGGAGAGAGAGAGAGAGATCATTGATCATTTTGTGTCTGTTACCATGTTGTCAGAGTGCTGAGCTGTATTTTTGTCAGATTGGAGAAGATGGCGAGTTGGTCCAAAGTGCCTTTTCAAACGCTGCAGTCCCCTTACCAACCAAATACAATACAGATGAAGGCACTGCATGTAGTGTACAGTAAGTGTGCATGCTGCCCATGTGTATATCAACACATGCGTTCATTCAGCTTGTTTTTGAGTCTCATTTGCATCTGTATAGGTTTGTTTGTGAGCATCTGTCTTGCAGCTGAGTCCTGCTGTTTTCCACTGATACCAAGCTGACGTTGTCCAGTCCTGTTTTATTGCCTCCCCCTAACACAGCGTGTGACCATTTGTCTTCATCCAGCTTGCTTTCTTGGTGCCCTCTCCAGAGTGTCAAAGCTTCACAAGCTTATACTTTCCACATGCTCCTCATCTCAGCCTGTAACTGCAGTCACACTGAGGAGAAACATCAGGCATATAGAGCAGTGGCGGTGGGGTATAATCCCTCTTTATAATCACATTCTTGGCAGCTTGGTGCATCTACAGCATTTTTATCACATAAAAGTGAGTCTAAATAATGAAAGTTGTGATAAGATGCATCTTTATGTCTGATGTTATCCTCGTGACTCACTGTGTCTATTCCCATAGAGGGCGAGCTTTCAGGTCACACATGACTTTGCAGAAAGAAAGATAAGGAGTGTTTTAATAATAATTTGAACTACCTTCTTGGTAGTCGCACATGACACTGTATCTAAACTGGGATTGTTTCGAAAGGGAAATAAACACTGGTCTGTCGTCAGCCAACTAAATCCAGACAGAGGGATAAAACCGGATGGAGTGAGACTGATGGCGCAATTATTAAATTACTAGAATTTCTGATGAACGGTCAGTGGAAGGGAATTGTGTGTTGGGATTATCTGTGTTTATTTTTCCGACCTCTGACACATACCTCACGTTGAGGAAAGCAACAGTGCTAATCCGTGAGTTGGGGAGCTATTTGTGACTCATTCAATATCCCTGGTCCGTCCCTGGTCCGTCCTGCCTGCAGGGCTCCAGGGACCACTTCATTCTCGGAATCACCGCCTCGGAGCGTATGGAGACCAAGTTCTGCGTCAGGCGCGCAGCTCTATGTCCTGGAACAGATCCTAGAATACTTCAGAGCAACAGACACGACCTCTACCTCAGTGGGACATAAAACATGCGAAGCCTCAGTCAGGGGGCTTCAGTCGGCACCCACAAACTCAAACAGGGAACTCCCTCGACGTGTTTCGGCTCTTCCTCCGCTGCGCGCACACTCATCCAGCATCTGTGATCATGACTTCGGGTCTGCCTCCCTCTAAAGCCCTCTACATCGGGATGGAGGTGGTGATCGCCGTGTCTTCGGTCATCGGGAACGTGATGGTGGTCTGGGCTGTGCGTATTAACCGGTCTCTGAGAGACACCACGTTTTACTTCATCGTCTCCCTGGCCTTGGCTGACATTGCAGTCGGGGCTCTTGTCATCCCGCTCGCTATAACAATCAGCATCGGACTCCAGACGCACTTCTACAGTTGCCTGCTGGTCGCCTGCACAGTGCTCGTCCTCACACAAAGTTCAATCCTGGCGTTGCTGGCCATCGCCATCGACCGCTATCTGAGAGTCAAAATACCCATGAGGTAGGCCCAAAGGTGAATTCCTCTAGTTTTCAATATCTTGTCTCGTTTACAGAAATCCCTTTGTGTCTGGACCGCTGCTCGGACCAAGGGCACTTACCAAAACGGTTCTGCGTGCAGTGTCAACGGGATTTTTATTTCTTGTCCCTTCAGAAAGGATTGTAGTGTGTGTTGGGTAAAAGGCTGTGTGATCATTTTAATTAGATTACAATAACCTCAGTGTCGGGCTGCATTAATCTGCTTTAACATCTCTGTAGTATCTCTGCTGGAAATTACAGCGTGTCTGTGATAAAGACTGTGACACGTGCCTTTATGATTCATACAACAGGAAACGTTTCACTTATTCATTCATTCATTAATTCATTCATCCATTATTAATATTTAATTACTTAATTGTAGCCTACAATTTCCCCCCTAACGTCATACAACTAGCATATCATGACTGAACAAAACAAAACAAAAAATCAATTTTGATAAAAAAAAATCTTATTAATTGCATGTCCTCTTTCCAAAAAAACCCCCCAAAATATCAAAAGCATTGATGATCTGACTTGGGGTTGTTTTTAGATGATTTTTGAAAGTCGAAACATGTAGGCAAGCTGCAAACATACTTACCACAGATAGGTAAATAGATAGATAGATGGATTATCTTGGTGTACAAAAAGACAGTTTATTGTAATTATTTACATGAGGATTCTCAAGGTCCAAAGAAGGCACCATTTGTCACTTTTAAAACGGTTGAATTTCACATCTGTGGGGACGCAAGCTGTTGCCCAAACGGACATAAACATGTGGAAGAAACATTTGGAAGTCATAAATGTTGCACTTGATCTTTGTCCTCTCTGGTGGGGATCAGTTAGAGGCAACATCATGGTGCAAACTGGCATTTCTGTTGCGTGGTGGCAGAACAGGAGATTTTAAAACTGTGAATATCATCATCTTTTTTGCACGTTAGTTCTTGCCTTGCCTCACTGTGATTTAACTCAAAACTAGGGTTTCCACCTCAGGTTGGCTCATTTGACAATAAGCCTGGCAGAGTCTGGCAGAGAATGCATGACTGGTCAATAGCCTCATGGTGGCTGGTTGATAGATTGCATAATTTCTTAAGCTGGCAACTAACACGCACACATAAAAACATGTACACACACTGCACACTGCCGCTGAGAGAACATTAATACAGGGTGCAATGTCAGGAAACATTCAAAATATATTGTGTATTATATGAATGCTACAGGTTTAATGGATTCCTGGCAGTTTTTATCAAACAGTGGTGAATATGTACTCCATGTGGTGACAATATGAGGGTTTAAAGTTTTTCAAAATTTGCCATATTCCAAAACAGAACTGTATATATATATATATATATATATATGTATATTGTATATATTGTAAAAAGCTGCATTTATCTTTATTTTTTCCTGCAAAAATATTTGTTTAAATCATGTCTGTATCAAGTCCTGATATATTTCTCTTCAGAACTGGTGTTAGTTGCAGAAAAAGTGGTGTTGGTGCTTCACCATGAAGGAAAACCAAAAAAGAAACATATTTTATAGAGTCACAAATCTGGGAGAATTTATTAGCACCTCCCATTTGGAGAAGTTCAGATTTCAAACACCAGTGAATTGTTTTTTGTTGTCTTGTGGTAAAGTGATAATGTGAGCCACAAATTGAGTTCCCCTCCCTAAACCACCCCAAGGACTCTGGAGGGGCACAGTATAACGAGCACTGATTGCTTTTTATAGCAGAAGTGGTTTGGAAGCACACTGTCACAATAACGTTGGTCTGTCTGAGATTTGAAAATGTCCCAAGTATTGGATAGGATTTACAGGCGGGTGACTAGGATCTAAATCCCACAGGAAAACACGGATAGATGGACGACAGTCCAATCCAGGAAATAACAGATAGGTAATCTGTATGCAGGCAGACAACCAAGCTTTACAAGCAGCTGTACGGAGAGTTATGAGTACACAAATTGAGATAAAAACTGACGTCACATCTGGGAAGACCTACTGCAGGCAGGGTCTCTTTAAATATTGTATCATTCATTCATCCGGTGTTGTGTCTGCCTCACTCTGGCTGAACTGTGTGCACTTTATATGACGGAGTGTGCGAGGCAAGGCCAACTGAGAGAAATAAGTGTGGTAAAAACAAGAAATATAAAAGTTTGGCTCTGGCACATAAGTCAGTGGTGTGTGTTTTTGTGTCAACCAGTGAGCAGGCTTGGTAAGAGAGAGAAAGTGTGAGAGGAAGACAGAGCTATGTTCGTCAGCCTTGAGTCAGCTGGTTTACTCAAAAAATCAACAGTCTATCATAGTTCCTTCAACAGTGACTAATTCACAGACCTGTCCAATAGCAGACTACTGTGTGGGAGAGACAGGATTGCTAACGTCCCAGGTGGAAATGTCTTGAGCTGATTTCTGTTTTACATTTCATTTGTTTAAGAACACAGCAGTGATTAAGAGAAAAGGAAGATTTAACAGATATCTGCTGTCAGAGAGATCACAATGAAACAGGTTATGATATAATTCAGTCCAACCAAGCAAACTGCCAACTTAAAGCAAGATTGTGTAACTTTTGAAAGAAAAAATAACACATTCCTCCTTCGACAAATAAAATGTTTAATTCATAAACAATAATTAACTCAATTCAACACACTCAGGAGTCTTGTTGATAATTCTGGCATGAGTAGCTAAATATTAGCTTATGTGAGCAAAGTATTTTAAGGTAAACACAAGAAACTTGTGCTCAATAACTCACATTACTGCATTACTGCTCAATAACTCACATTACTAAACCATTTTATTGTTTTATTACTTACCATTACATATGGCAACAGTGGACACTGTTCAACAAAAGTTACACATTTTTGCTTCAAAAGTTAAAGCAACACTCCAAGATTCAGTCAAAACAAAGTGATTTACTAACCTCCTAGTAGATAACGATTTGGCTGTATATTAAACTGCCTTTAAAATATGATACAACCAGATAAGACTTTCCTGTCATTGTGTCTAACCTCAGTCTCACAGTGTGAAGGTTTTTGAAAGATTACGCATTAATACTTAATATGGAGCAGATTAACTGATAATAAAAAAGCACAGTATCACTGTCACATTGTCTGTCCACAGAGATTTTTTTCTCAGTGCTTTATCTTCTCCCTTTTGCTTTAGCTACAAGCGAGTCGTGACCCCTCGGCGAGCCGGCACGGCCGTGTTGTTGTGTTGGCTGGTGTCCATCATAGTGGGCCTTGCGCCTATGTTCGGCTGGAATAACCTGCAGCGTCTCCGTGACAACGTCTCCCTGATCACTGATGACCTCTTGGTGACCTGCGAGTTTGAGACAGTCATCAGCATGGACTACATGGTCTATTTCAATTTCTTTGGCTGGGTGCTGCCCCCTCTCCTACTCATGCTGGCCATCTACACTGAGATTTTCTACATGATCCACAAGCAGCTCAACAAGAAGGTGAGATTTTCTTCCTCTTGGGTTTGACATGCAGCAATCTAAAGACAATTCACTATGGAAATAGACTTAATGTGAACTGATTAGACTAAAACTAATACGTTGACAATCTTCTCTTATCTCTCTATAGGTGACAGCGAGCCACACAGACCCAAGGCGTTACTTTGGCAAGGAGCTCAAGCTAGCCAAGTCGCTCGCCCTTGTTCTTCTCCTTTTTGCAGTCAGCTGGCTCCCTCTTCACATCCTCAACTGCATCACCCTCTTCTGCCCTGCCTGTGACAAGCCAGTGTTCCTCATTTACATCGCCATCATCCTCACCCATGGCAACTCGGCTGTCAACCCCATAGTATACGCTTTCCGCATCAAGAAATTCCGCACAGCATTCTGGAAAATCTGGAAACAGTATGTGCTTTGCCAGGATCCAGTCGGTCGGCTTCCTCAAAGAGGGAGCCAGAGGGGACAGAGCCATGAGAGGAGGCTGAGGCAGAATGATGATGACGATGATGATGTGTGACTTTTGGCAACTAATTTTATTGCTTTATAACTGTAAAGTTTCACTCCAAGGGTTCACAGAACGGAAAGGATTCTGGCTTTATTTTCACGCTTGAGGGATTACTGGTCAAACCGGCCTTAATGGGATCGAAGGATGTCAGAGGGATGAAACAGACGAGGGAACTCCATTGTGGACTGAACGATTTCATCCATCCAACATGCTCAGTGAGGACAGGGCGACAGAATGTCAGAATGGAGACAAGATAAACATCAGAAATCAGGCTTTGATTTAGATAAGACTGATTGTTTCTCCACTGGCTGACAAAATGATGATGATGTCATATGGGATAAGGGGCTTCTCATCAGTTTCAACACCAACCTGTTGAACTTGAATCAGTAAGTGTATACTGGATCTGTAGCACATATGGTACAATAGTAGTATATCCTATATTTTTTTTTTTTAATCTGATCTAAACTCATGACCTTTTTCATTTGAATGATCTCAAATAGTTAAGCATCTTATGTGCTAATTTAATTTGCTAATTTCCGTGGCCTTATGGACAGGAAATGAAGAAGAGGAACTAAGATGAACAGAGGAAACATTTAATATTAGGAATGTGGTAAAAGTCTGTGCAACCAACTTGGTGCTTCGAGAAGGACCAGGATACAGGATACAGGATGTATGCTGGCTGCATGGATGAAAAAAATGCTAAATTGACTCACTTGGTGTTAAAAACCAGGATCTTTGGTTTGATGAACATCTGCTTTACCAGCTGTGTTAATGGTAAAGTTATGCCGTAATTTGTCGGACTCATGGACTTTTCACACATGGCCTGTGGTGCATTTGCACGTGTAAAGGTTTTTTGAAATTTCTGACACCATCTGACCAACAGAATGACTGATACTAGCTAATAGTTGTACCTGAAAACAGCATCAGTGTTAAAGAAAATTTACTTGATGTTCCTCATTAAATATTTATGAACATGGACAATGGTAAAAACCATCAGCCACCTATAGTAACTCTGTAACTCTGTAGCTACATCAGTGTTGTTCAATAGAAAACTGTGAATCTAAAGAATGTTTGAGCTCCTCCATCCAATGAGCTTCATTCGATCCTGGTTATAATCCTTTTAACTCTATAACGTACCTCTTCTGTACATTTATCCGCAGGCCCTTTCCAATACTCGCAGGCGTTTTCACACTTTTTCAAACGGCTTCTCCTGACGCTTTGTGATGAAGTAGGTTTCCTTTTCATCACATCCTCTCTGTTGTTTTTTGTTACAGCGCTGACTTAAACTGACCAGCGTTGCCCTTTAAAATGAGCAAGATTTGACACGAAAACTAATTGTTGAGACAGGAGTGCTAACACCGATAAAAATGTACTGTAACTAATGTATGTATAAATAATGTTATTTGGGAGATTGTATAAGCCTGAAATGAAATTCACCTCACTGACAAACAGCTGGTTATCTCTGATGTATCCTCTTACAGCTGTTGATAGAGTGAGCAGATTGGGAAATCCACCCTCCAAGCAAGTCATTACATTTTCTTTATGACAACAAATAAGCAAAAAATATTACAGCATATGGTGAGCTCTGATTTAAAGTCATAATGCTGTATGTGCATTAGCAAGTGGAAACATCAAAATCCACTCTGCGCTTTATGACAGCATTTCACTTTCCCCTCCATGCTTCTCTGTATCAGGGCCATCAGTGGTGGGAAGTCACTTCTCTGCGCCCACATCGATCACTTGGCAGAGAGTGTGCTTGTGTGGGTAAGTGAGGAGGGTGCAGGAAGAGTGGAAGGATTATTCCATTTACAAGGGAATCAGAGGGTGGGGGTGCAGCAGAGGAATTCATAGAGTTTACATCCCTGTTGAGGTCAACATCAAGGCCACTGTGATGTTCTCCCATCAACAAAACAGGCCTGGTAATGTGACCACGCTGATCTCTGTCTTAACCTGCTGTTGCACTGTATTGCGACATTACAATACACACACACACACACACACACACACACACACACACACACACACACACACACACATACACACACACACACTCACACTCACACCCATTGTATTTCTTCATCAGACAAGTCTAATCATTGTATTTCTGTGCTGCTGAATCTGTTGATTCTCTGCCCATGTGAAATCCTTTTAAAGCCACTATGTGTAGAATTTGCATATCGCAAAAGCCTATGATGGCAAATCTTCGGGTTGCACCAATATTTGTGTGTAGTATTGCACGCAGCCTAAAGACCTGAAACAGAAAACTTTTAAAGTGATATCAGTTCACCTCAATGATATCTCCACGATCAATTGATCAGATGCTCAAGGAGGTGAAATTAATTTCTGTGTGAATTTGCACCTCCGACCAATAACAAGCTATCTTGAGAGTACTGACCTTTGAGTGGACAGAGAGTCCAAAATTGAGGAATTTATCTTATAGCTTATTAGCTGTGTTGGATCATTCACTTTTATTTAAAATCCAGAGTAAAAACCGTTGATGGCACAAATATATCTTTCTTAATAAACTGTGAAGATACTGCTCCATTATTGGCAGAGCTAAGCTAACAAGCTAATGAAGTTTACAAAGCTTGTTAGCTTGTGGAACTTTATTTTCTTTGCTGAATAACTTTTCATTGAATTAAATGGTATGTAATGGTGAACAAAATGCCATTTAACATAGTGATTTTTTTCATAAGGGGGGTGTCAAAGTCGGACATTTTTAATTATACTCATAGTGGCTTTACCTTTTAATCTGTTTACTTTTGCTGAACCCATGTGATAAATGAAACTTGATTTGTGAAATTATATGAGATATACAGTACATTAACAAAATCTATAGCTTAGATATTGTAGGCCTACATGTAGACATGTTTATCAGAATTGCTCACAGCAGTAAGTGCTAATATGGTGAGCTGTTTTGTCCATTTCTAATTATGAAGGAACAAGTGAATAAATAACTCAGCAGATGGAGTCAAAACACAGAAGGTAGACTTTTTATTTCATTTATTACATTGATTCAGTGAAGTTGGTGTTATCTGCTGTGCTGTTGGAAAATAAATTTACATTAAACACAGGAGAAAAGAAATAAAGTTGATTTCATCATGGATGCTGACTACAAATAATTGAAATTCAACAGAAATTCTTAGGAGGTTGTAAGTCAAAGTCATTAGTCACTTACCAGAGTATTTCTCTCTCTGCCGCTCCCTCCTGTCAATTACCGACACTCTGACAAGTGACAAGTCAAGTTTATTTATATAGCCCGAAACCACAGGTTTACTCATGGGCTCCTGTAAAGTATGTCACAATGTGTATGATACAAAAATTAGTTGACATCAAAGAGGTCTATGTTGGTGTTTTTTATTTCTTTTTTTTTCTTCTTTTTTTTTAAATAAAATTTGTGATGGATTTCTGACAAAATATAAAGCAGCCTCTCTAGCTCTCAAGCTCCATGTATTTTGTGTCTAAAATCACTGGCAGTTTAAAGAAAGTATAACTAGCATTTTTAATTTATACAACAGAAACCAATGAGCTACATTTGTTACAACTGCCTTAATCAATGATAATTAGTATGTTTGTTCTACTGAGAACTGCGACTTGAATTTGTGACTAATCCAAACCTGGGAGCCGCTGCATTTATGCAGTTTTAACATGTCGGTTTTGCCTTTAATGAGCTCTGTTTGTATTTATTCTAAATTAAGTGTCTTAAATTTGGTACTTGTGGAATGGAATGAAAACTTAAAGGCACGCACAGTGTTTGTTGGAAATAGTCATCCAATAATTAGAGAGATTGAAACTTAATTTTGCCCATCACCCTTTAAAGCTTGTGGCTCTGGGTCCACCTCCCAGCTGGTTTCATGCCTGGTGGCCTCAGAACTCCCTTATCATGTCTCACAGAGTTAGTGTGGAGTCGGTGCACACTGACAAAGAGCAGCACAGAGAGGTTACTGTGCAAAAAGCTTGACTTTGGGAGTGGTTGTGAATATCTTCTGGACCAAGAAGGCAACAGCTGTATATTACTTCAGTTCAAATAAATACATGATAAGCAAATTCATGTGACTTCAGATTCATTGCTCTGTGAAGAAAGTATTTGGTGTGTGTGTCAAGACTGTCAGCAAGAATTTCACATATTTATGTGCACCCCTGACTTTCCTCCTTCCTCACAGAGGTGAAAATCTACAGTCAGATGCCTTTACATCCCAGTGTGAACTGCAGCCAGAGAGCTGCAGGCTCTGTGATCGCAACAACAGAGAAAAACAGAAAACACACAATGAAAAAAAGGATATTTTATATGTCCTTTCCTGCAAAAGGAAGAGAAACTTGCCAACACCACACAATTAGATGTGGCTTTGTTTGGTTCTTCTTTTTGTGCCATGCCACCACAAACTCACATCTGGCATCTTTCACATTAGCGTCTAGTCATTGAAAGTGAACAGTGCTGCACTCTGCTGGTTACTGACCAGGAATGAAACAATGTATGAGGTAACACAGGTCAGTGGAGAAATGTTAAACCAAGAAAAGCTTTATCTTTATTTATATGTTGGCAAAAGACATTGAAGTTCATATGCAAAAAAATTCAGATCTGTGTACTACGAGTAGGTGTAAAAGAAAGTAATGCAAATACTGTCCTGTCTAATCTTGCTTATGATGAACTGCTTTTTCTACCAGCTAATTTTTAATGTGATCCAGTTTTGGAGAATATAAATATGTAGGTTATCAGGGTCAGTGCAAGGTAAAAACATTGTATCTACTTACAGTAATTTTGTCTTTACAGACACTATAATAAGTCTATTTCTGAGGTTTTAAATGGGTTTGAGATTATGAGACGGTGGTAGAAGTTTCATAAAAGACCATGTCACGTTTAAATTGGAATTCATGCTTGGAATCTGCCACATTAAGGTTATAGGTTCTTCACAAAAGTTCTGTTTATGTGTACATATGTTTTACTGTATGTACTCAGTAAGTACAAAATGAAAGAACGAACTTCTCCAAACGAGATAAGTTTTCCTCAGACA